GAATGCCGAGGAGATTCTTTATTACTTAAGGTCTCATCTTGAGAACCCAAAGAAACAGATCCAAATCTTTCAACAAAATCTGAAGGCCACCACGACACATTAGATGGCCCTTGCTCTGCCGGCCCTGCATCTTCTCGTGTCTCCTCCATGTTCTTATATATTTGGAATGAAAAACCATTTCGCCACAATTATTAACCCATAAGAGACATATCCAAGCTAAAGGTAGTTCTTAAAATACAAAATCATTGAAATATATATTTCAGTAACACCAACTGCTTCAAGCTGGAGATCATGTAACCTGTATGAACCAAATAACAAGGATATGGCATATTAAAAATGCAAAAGATATGTTTAAACAACAGCAGATAAAAAAGGAATGAAAATTTTCAAAATCATAACACATGAAACTTAAGCATTACAACCAAGAGCCAAAAAAATTACTATACAAAAATAAAAGTAGAAAATTTGTTATTGGCCTAGCTCTATCGTGCATGAATCCCATGACACTGATGCATCACTCACTTATATGATCCCCGCACCAACCCTAGGAGATAAACTTCAGAACTGATATTATCACTGGTAAACTCAAGGCACAAGTAAGCAATGTCTATCTCAGTCCAAACCATTCATAATACAAGAGTAAGACTCTTTGTGCAAGTTATCACATTTCCAACAAATCATTATTCATATGACACCTATAAATCAGATATTGAACCCATAATTATGAAATGAAACCTATCTCCACTCAGAAGGAAACAGAAAATACATGACTAAAGTTGACTATTGCGACCATTAGACCATTTCCAACACAACACTTCCCACCATTAATAATGGAACACAAAGGAACAACCATGATACATCCCCCTAAATCAATGAAGCAGATAATGACAAAGACATGTATGAGAAATCAAATATCTAGATCAAAGGGCAGAACATATCTTCAATATTGGAGGTGAGGACAAAGTTATACTGTGTAACAGGAATATTCATATACCAAACCATTCTTGTGAAAGACAAATATCTGTCGTTCACATCTGTATAATGTGCTGACGACAGAAATTTCCACTGTATTCATTACTTAACAATTTTTTTTTTTTTGAAAGGCTCATTACTTACAATTGTAACTTCAAATGTTAATGCATCCACATTGAAATTCTTATAATTTCTATATTAATTTGTTTTAGATACTCTGACTGTTTACTAGCTCATAATATCCTCACCTAATGGGATAAGACTTTTGTTGGTGTTTACTAGTCCATAATATATTCCTCTAGAGTTACAAGGCAAACAGTAACTCAGTCACCTTATATTTGACCAAAAATGGTCTGTATGAAAATGCTATAGGTAACCCCACTGAAGCAAAAAGGAATCTTTTACCTTAGACTAAACGCCAGCCAGGGCATAAGCATAAGACATATCATGAGTACCCTCATCACTCTTTTCAATTTGTTGTCATACTATACATTGCACATCCAAAGGAAAATTATTGGCATTAAACTAAAGTCTCCAAAAGTATTCCTAATTACCCTTCATTTCATATACCAAAGATTCTCTCCTATCCTTGCTTCTTTCAAGTATGTTCATTTCGACCTGTACTATTGGTACAAACTGTACAATCTCCATCCTCATTTTTCCACCTAAATTGATTATCACTACTCAAGACCACGTCAATTCTCTTCCCATAGTCAGATTTGTTTTCACTTTCTGTATTTATACTTGTCCCTTTTTTATGGTTTCTACATTTGTTTTAAACAAAGAAAAGGGAGAGCTCGAGTTTTTTTTCTTGCTATGAACCATTTCCCTGTATTAGGTTAATAATGTATTTCCACAAGTTAATCAGTATTACCGAGAAAGACAAAAACAGAAAACAATAAGTCAATAACAATTCGATAGGGAGCACAGGGACAGAACTAGTTACTCCTACAACAGAAATCCAACTCAGAAACCTCCTAACAAATAAGCTTGCTCCGATAAATCCAGTTCCGCATGAAAAATCACAGCAGCGGTTAACAGTTTCACAACAAATACCATAAACTCCGTAACAGAATGCCTGTACAGTTCAATTCAACCACCTAACAGTGCAAAATCCCGAGTTCCTCCAATTCAACGATTCCAATCAAAATTCTGAAAACCGATATTCTCACAAAAACAATGGACAACACATTCAGATCAAAAAAGGACCTACTCGCATCGCGCACAGACTCAACTTCATTCACATTAAATCACAGAAATAAAAAACCGATTCGTTCGGAAAACCGCATCGAACATCCAATGCGAGGAGACAGAGGAATGCCTAGGCCATCGGAAACGAGAAAGAAACAGAAAACTGAAATCGGCGGCAACAAGAGGAGTAAAAGCGGAAAGAAAACGATCAAGGAGATATAAAGAGTAGCGAAATCACCGGCAGCAGATCCAAGCATTCGAGTTGGAATCTGGCGTGGCGTCCAATCGCATTTGAATCTGAAATAGCTAAAAATACCGCGGAATCATCGTTACGCAAAGAAAGAGAGAGAGAGAGAGAGATGAAAGTGTGAGGAAATGAGAGAGGGATTTGATTTGAGGTTCGGGTTTTGAGTGATGGAAGAAGAAAGCGATGATGCGGTTTTTGTTTCAGAGAGTTGAGAAGGAGAGTGAGAGGGAGAGAGGGAGAGAGGGAGAGAGGGAGGGGGTGAGTCACGTGCAGTGCGAGAGGGATCTGGGGACCTCTCCCCGACAGCCAGCTAGCAAAAGGGTTGGCTCACCAACATCCACAACTTCTTACGCGTCAAAACTATTATGCTATTCCCTCTATTCTGTGCCTCTACCCTCTACCCTCTACCCTCTTCCCTCTACCCTTTTCCCTCCTCTATTTTTTTAATTTATTTTATTTCCATAAATAAATAATTATCAATCTACACACTATACTATTTTTTTAATTTCAATTGACAATTTTTTGGTACATAATTTCAATTGAGATTGGAAATTTAAATAATAAATAGTTCTTTCACTGTGTTTATATGTTTCATTTTATCTAAAAAAGAATAATAATTAAACAAATACTGCCAAAAACGTAGAGTGTGTATAAGAATAATTTTTTGTACTACTATTAGGTAAAATCTTGGTGGACCCTGAGGTCAATGGACTCCAACCAATTCAAACTTTGATCGAGCTGCAACGCACGTGGGGAACTAATATAGGAACAAATTATTGGTTGTCATATTTGACCTTTTATGTTTATTAATCAATGTCTTAAAATATTAGTTAAATAGTTAATAAATAAATAGTTTATGTTGAAAAATACGATGAAAACGTATCAATAATATTTTTAATAAAAATTATAATTACTTATGTGTGTGCAAAAGAACATGTTAAATAATTTTTATTTTTTAAAAAAATTATAAAAATATATATTAAATTTTTTAATTAAATAATTAAAATTTGATATAAAATATAATTTATTAAATAAAATAAGTTTAAATAGTTTTAATTTTTCGATCATTTATTACATTTCTTTACCTATTAATTTTTGTTCTTTATGATAATATAGGGCAATTTCTAAGATTTAGTAAACCTTAATTTATAATGAGTAGTTTACAATCTAACTTTTTTTTTTACGCAATAGATTTTTTTCATAAGATTTTATACAAATTATGTAGTGTATAATTTCGTACTAATAAAATTTCCCTTTTAATATAAAAAAAATGGTGTATGTTAATGATATTAATTACCGAATATTCACTTGACATGTAAATTAAACGTTCTTATATATAAGAAATAAAATTTCAGGAAAAAGAGAAAAAAGAAAAATACATAAATAAGAGTTTTATTTTTGTCATAATTATAAAAAAAAAAGTGTCTATTTTTAAATGTATTAATTGGTATTTTTTTATATCCTAATTTTATTATGGATTTATTCATAAGTCTTTTATGTATTTTTGTGAAAGTATTTATTAAACAACTAATATTATAAATCATGTTCTAAAAATAGTATTCCTTGACTTTTGAGTAGTATCATTAAATATAAGTTTAGAGTTTAGAATTTTAGGTTTTAAGGTGTAAGATTTAGAATAAATTTTTTAATTATGACATTATTAATTACAAATAACTAATTTTTTATACAAATTACAATTAATTAATTAATTAATTAGTTTCATTTGTTTTGTTTGTTATATATATATTAATTAGAGTAAATATATTACATGAAGATATTTATTGAAACAATTATTTAATGAGAATATTTTTAGAGAATAGCCTATGTTTGGATAAAAAAATAATAATAGCCTATATTAATGTTATATGTATATGGTAGAAATTTATTGATATAAGGCAAAGCGCATAATCATTATGGAAACGAAATTTGTGCGGAATATGCTTTTGCTTCCTTTCTTCCATCAAAGAGCATAAAATAGTAGCTATTAGCTATATAGAATATGCTCACTTTTGTTGAGACTTTTCGTAGTCATCAAGCTGTGTTGGTTATATGATAATGCATCACAACGGTAAAGTTTGACTAAATAAAATAAAATTATGAAATTCACGTTTAATAATTGCGATTAATTTTTTTGACCATTTTGCTATGTTGGTATTCATCACTCTAATTTATTTTTTTATTTTCAAAAATTCATCAAAAATAGTGTTGTTTGAATCCAAAACCCATTATTATACTTTTTTCTCTTGAATTTTTGCTTACAAACCCATGGAAATTTGCTTTTAAGCTTTACCAATGTTTAGTTGTATCTTTTGAAAGGGAATAAATTCCAAAGCAACTACTTGGAAAAGAGTAGTCATCTTTGTTGAGTGACACATCAGAACAATTAACTTTTGATTTTGCCTTTTACAAATTTTTTGAATGTGTAGATTTTGACTTACGAGTTCAACTCATAGCGGCACTTTAGTGTGTAATAATTGGAGTCCTAAGCATAGGTGCCACTGAAAATTGGTGGTGTTGTGCCAATGCTTTGGCCAACAAACTGGCGCAGATAATAAGTATATCCTTTTGTGGGGTGTGGTTGTCAAAGTCATTTTCCACATGGAAAGTTGGATGTGAATAAAGCACCTCCACACTCCTTCTCCTTTGTGGTAAAGTTGAAGCTGCACATATTCAAAATTAGGCAGGCAGCGTTGGTCCAGGTATATTGTTGCTTCTATGAATAGCTAAACAAAATAATGTATAACAGATGAATTCTAAATTAATCATGTGTGCTTGGTTTTGCATAATAAATAGACTTTTTTAATGAAAGTCTGTCTATCAATTTGGAAAACTTCTTTAAAAACATTTCAATGAGAGAAAAATGAAAATAAAATAAAATAAATTTATCTACAAGTTAAAATCAACTTATTTATAACCAATTTATAAAAATTCTCTTTTATTAATTGTTCCGGTATGCCTAAAAGTCTCACATCGCTTAGGAGTCGATCCTAAGGGTAGTTTATAAACATCTTTCCTCCTTAACCCACCGAGGCACCTTTTCAAGGACAAAACCGTGACGGTCCAACGAGCGCCAAAGCAGACAATACCTCGGATGCGGTGACCCTAACGATGACAGCGGACTTACGGTAGAAACATTGGTGCTAGAAGGAGAGCCCAGGCCACTCTTGCCCCTTAGCATCGACTGGGGGGCTTGTTCCGGTATGTCACGGTTATTGGCGCTAGAAGGAGGGCTCAGGCCACTCTTGCCCCTTAGCATCGACTGGGAGCTTGTTCCGGTATTTTAACTTGTGTATAAGTTAGTTTTAATTTGTGGAGAAAGTAATTACTATTTTATTTCCCATTTTGTTTTTCTATTAGATGTACTTCTCGTTAAATTTATGCAAATAAACCTTACATAAAGAAGAATAACATACAAGCTACAAATTATAATGATTGGTTGACATGAAACCAATGACTTTAAACATAAAATCAAACATGCATTGCATGTATTTATAGTTCCCTTAAGTTACATCAAGGTATTTATGGTTCATTGATGACCTAATTAAAAAATGATGATTATCAGTATTATATAAAAAGGTTCCGTTTACTCTAATTTAAATTTATTTTTATTTAATAATTTATGTTTTACATTAAATTTTAATGACTCAATTGTTTAATTTAAAATTATAAATTTATAGATCAAATCTGTAAATATTTAAAAATTTTAAAAAATATTTTATACTTTATTTTATTAGTTCAAATTGACGAATAACCATAAAATCATTTTATATATTGATTTGAATTAATGAAACAAAATATCAAATAATTTTCAAATTTTTAAAAAATTTGTAAACTTGATCTACGCATTAAAAACTTTAAATTTAATGATTAGATCATTCAAATTTGATGTAAAATATAAGTTATTTAACAGAGTAAGTCTAAATAAATAAACTTACTCCTAAAATAAACGGATATATATATATATATATATATATAAGAATTGCTTTATAAAAATTCTCTTTTATTAATTGTTCCGGTATGCCTAAAAGTCTCACATCGCTTAGGAGTCGATCCTAAGGGTAGTTTATAAACATCTTTCCTCCTTAACCCACCGAGGCACCTTTTCAAGGACAAAACCGTGACGGTCCAACGAGCGCCAAAGCAGACAATACCTCGGATGCGGTGACCCTAACGATGACAGCGGACTTACGGTAGAAACATTGGTGCTAGAAGGAGAGCCCAGGCCACTCTTGCCCCTTAGCATCGACTGGGGGGCTTGTTCCGGTATGTCACGGTTATTGGCGCTAGAAGGAGGGCTCAGGCCACTCTTGCCCCTTAGCATCGACTGGGAGCTTGTTCCGGTATTTTAACTTGTGTATAAGTTAGTTTTAATTTGTGGAGAAAGTAATTACTATTTTATTTCCCATTTTGTTTTTCTATTAGATGTACTTCTCGTTAAATTTATGCAAATAAACCTTACATAAAGAAGAATAACATACAAGCTACAAATTATAATGATTGGTTGACATGAAACCAATGACTTTAAACATAAAATCAAACATGCATTGCATGTATTTATAGTTCCCTTAAGTTACATCAAGGTATTTATGGTTCATTGATGACCTAATTAAAAAATGATGATTATCAGTATTATATAAAAAGGTTCCGTTTACTCTAATTTAAATTTATTTTTATTTAATAATTTATGTTTTACATTAAATTTTAATGACTCAATTGTTTAATTTAAAATTATAAATTTATAGATCAAATCTGTAAATATTTAAAAATTTTAAAAAATATTTTATACTTTATTTTATTAGTTCAAATTGACGAATAACCATAAAATCATTTTATATATTGATTTGAATTAATGAAACAAAATATCAAATAATTTTCAAATTTTTAAAAAATTTGTAAACTTGATCTACGCATTAAAAACTTTAAATTTAATGATTAGATCATTCAAATTTGATGTAAAATATAAGTTATTTAACAGAGTAAGTCTAAATAAATAAACTTACTCCTAAAATAAACGGATATATATATATATATATATATATAAGAATTGCTTTATTAAAAAGGAATTTTTTATAAAGTATATTGTGTAGTCTTTCACACTTTTATTTCTTATCCATATGTTTTTCTTAGTTTTTAACCATAATTGTCAATACTCTCTTTAACAAGGTATTTGTTAGCTTCTATGACTTGAAATTTATTTTTCTTGTATATCTACTCATTGAGCTTTCCACCCTTATAGTCTTTTAGGATTTAATAATAATGACACATTTTCGCAATCCCTTCGTTCATCTTCATTTTCATCCTTAGTAGAACTCATAAGGTCCATAACCATCACCTTACAGTGGT